GATAGATAGATAGATAGATAGATAGATAGATAGATAGATAGATAGATGTGTACATGCACTCGTGTACGATAGATAGATAGATAGATAGATAGATAGATAGATAGATAGATAGATAGATAGATCTTTAAAATTTCCTGCCAAGCAGTGGTGCCACACTCCTTTAATCCCAGCACTTGGGAAGTAGAGGCAGATGGATCTCTGTGTGTTCAAGGCCAACCTGGTCTAATCTACAGAGCAAGTTCCAGGACAGCTAGGGCTACACAGAGAAACCCTGTCTCTAAAAACCAAAATAATAATAATAATTTTTTAAAAGTCATATTCTACTTTTCAAATAAAAGCATTCCAGTGTAGACAAGTTTGTGTATGCCAGGACACCAGGTATTGAGTCAGGGGGATCAGACCACCAGAGTTCACATGCACTGGTGAACTCTTATCTTAGATCCAGAAAGCAGCCAAGAAGTGTTTAAATTTGTAATGGAACGTTTTGTTTTATTTAGAGAGAGGGGTTGTATGTGTTCATTTTTTGATCCTCACGAAAACATCAGTTGTGATTGACTCTGTCTTCTGTTGACAGCCGACATCATCTCCACCGTTGAGTTTAACTACTCTGGAGACCTTCTTGCAACAGGAGACAAAGGTGGCAGAGTTGTTATTTTCCAGCGGGAACAAGAGGTCAGTGCTTTACAGTCCACAAATCAAATGGCATTGCTATACTCTGCATAAACTGCTTACCAGAAAGGAAGCATAGTTTTCGGTATCTGGTTTTCTTGGACTCAGTCCTATTGCGGTAACTGTATAGAATAGAATGGTTTTTCAAACCCTACCCTGATAGAAGAAATCTACTTCTCACTGTGAGTACTGCTAAGGTGTTGATGCCTTCATCCTATTGCAACAGGCACTTAGAAAATATTTTTGTTAAAGAGACGTGACTATCTTATGTATGTCCATAAGACAGTTGGAAAGAGTATAAAAATATGGTATCTCAGATCACTTGTATTTGACTACTTTCCTTTGGGTTACCTGCTTCCTTGTGTCATAAGCACATTAAACCACAACGATAAGTCATTCATTGTCTTTATCCTTGGATTCCGGGAACAGCAGAGCTAACAGGACCATACCCCAGACATGAGCAATTATCCACAGGGTAAGGCTGCACTGCAGAGCAGAAACTAACATCTCCCGAGAGCCAGTACAAATAATTGGAACCAGAGTGGACACTAGATAAAATCACCCTGGCCAAGACTGCCAGGCTATGCATACCTCTTGTGTTTTGATACTGGGGTTTTTCTTCTCTATTTAAATGTAAATATTCACATCAGTGCCCTATAAATGAGCCATTAGTCATTAGACCTTTCTTCTTTCCCTGATGTGGCCACTTTAAATCTTTGTGTTTCCTGTCTCGCTTTATTTTGTACTGGCATACTGGTACTGGTAGCCAAAGCTAACTGACAGGGGCTGCCAGAGGTAGGACTTGGGCCCTGAAACTTTGCTTACACTGTAAACTTACAGGACTCGGGGTCAGTTGAACAATTACAAACAAAGGTGGAGGAGGGGAGCAGGTCTACGAACAAGCCTAATCATGTCCACGCAAAGCTGCTTGTCCACTGCAGAGGCTACCTAGACGTGCAGTGAGAGGCCTACGGTGCTCTTTATTTCTTCCAGGTGCATTAAAGTAAACTTCAGCAGGTTTTGAACTGAGACCTTCTTTAACTTAAAAATATGTCTGATCATTTAATGCTCATGTTGATAGCAGCAAAAATGTATCCTCGTTGTGCTTTGTTCATTAAAGAAGCTATCATGTTTCCTTGCAGAATAAAGGCCGCGCTCACTCTAGGGGAGAGTACAATGTTTACAGTACCTTTCAGAGTCATGAACCAGAGTTTGACTATTTGAAAAGTCTAGAAATTGAAGAAAAAATTAATAAAATCAGGTGGTTACCGCAACAGAATGCTGCTCATTTTCTACTCTCTACAAATGGTGAGAATTGTAAAAGGCTATTTGATTTAATCTTTAATTATAGTGTGGATGGATTCTTATTTCAAATAATTCTAAAGGTTGTTTCTTCTTTAAACTTAGGAGAGGATGAATTGTGAGCTAAGGTGAAAACAATAGGTAGGAAATTCAAATTCTGCAAAAAAAAATAGTGTTGATTTGTATATTTATCTTCATCTTTAGTTTTTGTGTGTATGATGTATGTGCACATATGTGGTGAATGCTTATATGCTTCTGAGGGCCATTGGGTGCCCTGCACTGTTACTCTCCCATTATTCTGTTGAGTAACCCCAAACAGTGCTGGGGTTATAGGGACATGGTGAGGGATTTGAACCTGGAGCTTGCTAAGCAACCACTTTTAACCAGTGAGCCACCCTCCCCAGCCTACCAAGCTTAGATTCCAACTTAGACAGGCAAAAGTTTCCTAGAACAGACAAATAATAGTGATACATGTTATTTGTGGTTTTTCTTTTAATATGAAGAATAAGGTTTTTATTTTCAGATAAAACTATTAAATTATGGAAAATAAGTGAACGGGATAAAAGAGCAGAAGGTTATAACTTGAAAGATGAAGATGGACGACTTCGAGACCCATTTAGAATTACGGCACTACGGGTATATGCTGCATTTTCTTTAACCTTTCCAGCACTTTTCAGAAATTAATCCAAAACAGTTATCAGCTGTTGAGAATACTGTTTAGTGAAATATGACTGGCTTATCTGTAACAATAACAGTGTCCCTCCTTGCTGTGTACTTGTTGAAAATGGCATTCATCGGTGTCACCAAGGTCACGGTCTTCAGAAATCCGATGGTGCTGAGGGGAAAAAATTATGTTTGGTTTCCTGGCAGAGCTTCTATTAAGAAGGACCCAGGCCAGCTGGGCTTCTGTGGTAGAACCCAGAGCACTTGCTCACGGAGTACAGTAACATGATGTAGGGAGGGCGACTGATGAAGCAGGGAGACATTAGCAGCAGAGTTGGTGAAATTTCCTCTGAGCTAATATGAGACACTGGTGGTTTTTTAATTCTTCAATTGTTGGACCTTATCATTGATACTTTTAATGGTGGGCTCACTGTAAACAATGGCACCTGGGAAAGAACAGAGCATAGCTATGTTTTAGAAACGGGTGGGTAGCAGGTTTTTCAGTGAAGTTTAAGGCTTTGTTCTGTTGTTAACCAAGTGATGGTGTGTTAGTGTTGAAAGTAGCTATCTCTGCTATCTGGTAGCCTTTTTTCTGACCTGCTCCCTAATAGGTTGCCTCAGGCCCAGCAGCCACGTACTTGAGAGAAAGCTAGAGAGTGAGAGCTGTCCCTGAACAAAGATGGTGGACAAAGCAGGTCTGATTATCCAAGGACAGTCTTCCTCCTCTGCTATTTAGTCTAATACCAGGCCAAAAAAAAAAAAAGATATTGTTTGTTCAGGTCTGAGTCATAGGAACCCAGATAGAGATGCCTTCTTCCATACTCTTGGTCAGTTTTGGCATAGTGTGTTATGTTTGCATCTCTGACTTAGTGTGGTCACATTTTGTTTTAAATCTCCCATGGTGTAAGGTACTAGTGCCAAGTTCTCTGAAACCTCCTGCTCTGGTCTTACCTCCTCTGCCACCAGCTCCACCCCTTTGCACACACAGCTCTTCCCAAACTCTGAAATCCTCTCATTCAGACCCCTGCATGTCCTATAAAGCTCATGAATGTGCTTAATAGGAAAACTCAGGACTTACCAGGCCCAGTGTTGATTTTATTCCAAGCCTCTTTGACAGAGTTAACCCGAATAAAACCTGTCTGATTGGCGGAAGTAAACCATATGAGAGAAGTGGTATTGCATTGGCACAGTGCGAGGACAGAATCATTGGCCAGCGATTGTGATATTCTTAGGTCTGTATTGGAATTTCTCAGAGCTCAGAAAAAAACATCTGGCTTTCCCTGAGTAAGAGCTGAGGTCTTTTAAGGATTTTGGGTTTGTTTGGTTTTTTTTTTTCTATTATTTTAGTTCTATGAAAAAGGACTATAGTTAAAAGGGCTCTTTCAATTAGGATTGCAGTTGCTGCTTTGATTAGCTGGAAACAGTAGAAAACCATGACAGTGTGTGTGTGTTAGACCTGCACACTGTGAAACTGCCATAAAATGAGAACAGCATCACTACACATTTGTCCAGGCAGGCTCACTTTTATAGAACTTAGCCAGAGAAGACCCAATTGAGAGATTCTTCTAAGCCTTCAATCAAGTTTTTTTGGTGTCTAGTTATATCAATAGAAATTACTCTAGTATTTGGCTTTCACTGGAACCTTAGGCTTCCCTTCCCTGAATGATAGAGAGAGGAACCTTTTCCTCTTCTCTCTTGTGGTGCTGTTCCTTTAGACTAACTCTTAGCCTGTATCAGGCACAAGTGCTCTGGCTAGGCCATCCTTCCCCCCGTATCCTCTGGGACTGTGGCACCAAGACCTAGACTTGAAGGATTCAGACTGTAGTTAGGTCTACATCAGGAGGTAGAGCCTTCTCAGCCTAGAGGGCCTCCTGCATGCTGTCTATTGATCCCTACATAGACATACACCCCATCACTATGGTCCATGAATTGACACTATGAAGCAGACCATCAGTACTGTGAGAGCAGAGATTTGTCTGTTTCCAGCAAGACCATATTACCTCTGTAATGCAAACAAAGAGGAATATAGCTGGGGACAGACAGCTTTCCACTCTATGCTCTGTAGCAGCTCTCCTGGTTTGAGGTGTTGCACAGCTATAGAAAACTTCTGTTAGTCCCTTTTCTTGTCTAAATTCCGTATGCTATGCTGTTATGACCTTTGTTTTGAATTCCTTTCTCCATTCCATTTTTAGGTTCCAATATTGAAGCCCATGGACCTTATGGTAGAAGCAAGTCCACGACGAATTTTTGCAAATGCTCATACATATCACATTAATTCCATTTCAGTAAATAGTGATCATGAAACATATCTCTCTGCAGATGATCTGAGAATTAACCTATGGCATTTAGAAATCACAGATAGAAGCTTCAGTATCCTTTACCAGGTGCTGTCTCTGCTTGGTTCTGTGGTCATTATGCAGTTACTTCTCATGAGCAGCTATATCCCGGTCCCTCAACATTGACCTTTTGAATGCATGATGTTTTAGAGTAGTGGCAACATAAGGTCTTTGTGATTGAGTGTTCCTAAAGATATATATCTCTGCCTGAAAGTTCACATGAGAAACCTTCAGTCTCCTTGGATCAGCCTCTACCTTGCCTCTGGCTCCTGATACTGCCATATGCCCCCCACCCCTTGCACTCAGATGAACCATTCAGGTCCTGCCTGACTGCTCTACCATCAGGAGTTTGTGGTAGCTATGAGTACTATAGCTCTTGTCACCATAGAATAGAGGTCACAGTACTTCATCTTGCCCCAGGCTGCCTTGCTGTCCCTGTGCTCAGTCATTACCCACACTTTCTGTGAGGTCTCAGAGTTTTGACTCCTAGCTGCTTCTCCAGCATTTTACCCTGTAACCCTAGCAGCTTTCCAGCTCCTTAACTTGAGGGCGGGTATCCTCAGACTCTTGGCTGGGCACCTTGACACTTATACTGTCTCTAGTCTCTCTGGGTTCTTGTCTCTTAATTGTGGCAACCAGTGATAAGATATAGACTCATACATTGTGTGTTATTTTTCCTAGTTTCCACTAGCTGATCTCTGTGGTTGACTTCCTGCTGTTAATATTGTTCAGACAACCCCAAGTAAGCTCTTAAGTCATTTGTGATTTGATAATGTTTGTGTGTTTTTAATTAGTTATAGACAGAAATATTTGTAGGTAGCACTGCTTGCCTTTGTTGTAGATGTCATTCAGTGTGCTCTGTCATAGTCAGACACTGTCCTGCATCCACCTGAAGCCCCTTGCTATGGGCTCGTTCCTCTGTGGCAGTATATATGGTCAGTCTCCTGCAGCTCCTCCCTCACTGCACAGCTGTCTGTCAAATTTTCCTTGGATGGCCAAGTATTATGCCTTAACTTCGCACTCCAGACATTGTGGACATCAAACCAGCTAACATGGAGGAGCTGACAGAAGTCATCACCGCCGCTGAGTTCCACCCACACCAGTGCAACGTGTTCGTCTACAGCAGTAGCAAGGGGACCATCAGGCTGTGTGACATGCGCTCCTCTGCCCTGTGTGACAGGCATGCCAAGTGTAAGTATCCTAGGAATACCCTTGTTTTCCAGAAACTAGCTGTCTGCACTGATAGGCGTGTCCTTGTCCTTCGCAGGCCTGGAGCATGAGGAGGCCCCATGTGGACCGTGCTAATAAAGAGGTGCTCCATCAGCTCTCCTCTGCTCTGATTCAGCTCAGCATCTGCCCTAGCTCCCCCTTACCTAGGTCCATCCAGTAGAGCACCATCATCATTGCCTCTATGTGGCAGGTCCTGGGCCATAGCCATCAAGAGTGCACTCCACCTATGTTTTCTATAGCCATAAAGAACTGACCCAGGAGAGAAAATGCTGTGTGCCCGGGGTCCCAGCTACTCAGGAAACTGAGGCAGAATCACTTGAGGGCCAGGAAAAGACTTAAGACTCTTAAGAGAGTGGGGATGGAAAGAGGGCTCACCTATTAAGTATATACTGTTCTTGCAGAGGACCTGAGTTTGGTTTCGACTACCCAGTTCAGGTGGCTCACAATTGCCTCTAACTCCAGCTATCACAAAAACAAAGCCATGCTCTTAATCCTGGCTCTCTGGAGGCAGAGGCAGGCAGATTTCCAAGTAAACTCTGTGTCTGTGAGTGGGTGGGTGGGTGGAGTTCAGCCAGGGCTACATAGTAAAACCCTGTCATATGTGTGTGGTGAGTTCAACCAGGGCTACCATAGTAAGACCCTGTCTTAACAACAAAAACTCTCCATTTCCAAGGGGATTCCCCATACTTTCTGTCCACACAAACACATACACAACTAAAATTTTACAAATAAAACTTTTAGGGCCAATGAGATGGCTCAGCAAATGGACTTACACGGTAGAAGAAAACTGACTTTTGAAACTTGTCCTCTCTTACATATGCAACCCCCCTCCCTAAACTAAATAAATAAGTAAATGTGTTTTTTAAAAAGGTCCTACTTTAAAGCATATTATGGTCGGTGTTGTCCTGGTATACCATCTTAGAAATCCACCATGTGCAACTGACCTGTAGAGCTTCCCGCTCTCATACTGAGACACTTTAACAAACAGGGAAGCAACTGTTGCTCAGCCACTCAGGAGGGTGGCACAACGAAATGTGTGCAGCACCAGCGGTGCCTGATTAGCACGTCCGCTGGGAAATGCTCCTCCTAAGGCCTGAAGTGTATCATAGAATGCCGTTCCTGTTACAGTTCCCGCAGTGTATGTAGCCCAGGTCTTCCAGATGGTGTTCCTCAGTGAAGAACTTCAGGTTCCAAGAAGAGTTATCCTTGTCAGCACTAGACTAATTGAGTAAATGCTTAGTGTTGACACTAGCTGGCTTCCAGTCTGTGTGTCACATGCAGAGCCAGCAAACATCACAAGCTCCCTAACAGAGAAGAATGGGGGAAACACTGGAGAAGCTTCAAGTAAAGGAAATGTATCTCCCAACCTGAAGCATGATCTGGCATGTGCATGACTGTGCTGGGAGATCCAGTAACTTCGGTAGGAGACCTCCCTCTGCTATGGGTCCCAGGTGAAGGGAACTGTTGAGCTGCTACAGACAAAGCTAGTCCTATGGAGGAAGCAATGATACTCTTTAAAATCACGGTGGAACATGGCTTTTCACTACAGTTGACAAACTCCATTGCTGTCTGATTTTGTCCAATAGTCCCGTTGTGTGGCTGACAAGCTCCGTTGCTGTCTGATTTTGTCCAATAGTCCCGTTGTATGGCTGGTCACTGTATTACTTGGCTTAAGTTAAGGAGCAGGTCCAGCTGTCCTGCAAGCTCTGTGCCTTCCAGAGAGCAGACCCTTTCAGGGGGCCCAGAGCACTATGCTTGTGTGCTACATTTATTCTTATGGTGTGAGCAAATAGGCCACACATCATGTCCCTAACCCAGTGCTTTGAGGGTACAAGAGATGCAATCGTGTTGTCTACATGGATTTGAAGGCCTGTACCTTGTAGGCACTGATGGTAGATGGAAGACAACCAGACAGCTAGGGGAGTGAAGATGACACTGAGTCCTCCAGGGTCCTTGAGGCACCCCTGCTGATTCTAGGAGGGTAGTCATGTGATTAACACAGTAGCTGAAAGTACTCACTTTGTTTTTCAGTTTTTGAAGAGCCAGAAGACCCCAGCAGTAGATCCTTTTTCTCAGAAATAATCTCGTCTATATCGGACGTCAAGTTCAGCCACAGTGGTCGGTACATGATGACCAGAGACTATCTGTCGGTGAAGGTATGGGACCTCAACATGGAGGGCAGGCCTGTTGAGACCCACCAGGTACATGAGTACCTACGAAGTAAGCTCTGCTCCTTATATGAGAATGACTGCATCTTCGACAAGTTCGAGTGCTGCTGGAACGGTTCAGACAGGTGAGGCTGCCAGCGTCATAGGCTGGCATCCAGAATGCTGGTTCCTTCAGGATCTGTAGCAAACCCCTCAGACTGACTGCTACCAGAAAGAGCATCTCAGTCAATTACAGAATACGGATGGGATTGTATTCTCCTTTTATTCATGATGTATGTCAGAGAAAACCAGTCATTTGAGCAGACCTTTCCTCACTGCCTGTGCACCGTGGTTCATAGTAGTTGTAGAGTGTTCAGTGAATGATAACATAGATGAGTGAAAGGAAGGAAGCAGGAAGTCATTTATTAGTCCAGGAGGCCTCTGCTCAGAGAGGTTTGAAAACAGCCTTTCGGCTATTGCAGTCCTGTACACTGCTCTGGCATGTGCTGCCTCGTTGCAGTCTGAGGCATTGTTCATCTCCTGCACATTCTGTACAGATCACAGTTTAGTGCTACTGAGAGGTCTTTGAAATCACCCCAAAAGAAATCATGTTTCAGATGCTGTAATCAGATTCTCTTAGGTTATCATTTTCTAGAGTTTCTGTTGAGAATTTAAGTAACTAGACACCGAAAACCCCATCAATATAAATGACTGGGGATATAGAGGCACACAGTCTTAATTACAGCATTTAGGTAGGAGCATCACCAGTTCAAGGCTAGCTTGGGCTATACTATAACTGCCTAGAAGCATCAGCTGTGATACAAATACTTCTTTAAGTAATAGTTGAGCTCACACACTAGAATTGCTGTCTCAGCCCCAAATGCTCATCCCTACAGAGTGTCTCTATTTCTACCCATGTAGAAGTTTGAGGTCTGTCCTAGCTGCATGATGTGGGAGACCTCACACCAAAGAGCTAAATGCTTACCCAGGGCCAGAGCTGAGCATCCTTTTCTTGGACTGCTCACAGATTAATTAGCATGCCAGTTTAAACGTTCAGAGGCCATGCATGCAGTCATTGGGCTACAGCAAGCAGTGTGAACTTCTGTAGAGGCCCACCTCAGTGCAGGCGCTGTCTGTCCTAATTGAGGACACCTGCTCTTTATTGTTTCAGCGCACCAGCAGTTCGCACCCGTGCTGATGGTAAGATACTTAGTCCTGAAGACACCTAGTTGCTCTCTGCTTTCGGTTCTTGTGGCAGTTGCTGTTGGCTCCACTCCTGCCCTTTCATAGGCATTGGCTCCATGCAGAAATGGAGAGGACTAGCAGCAGGTCCTCTTCTACAAACTCAGTCCTGCATACTCATTTCAGGTGCTCTCTCCAGAGTGAATCAAACCATAATTCTTAGCTCCAGCCCCTATGGTACCACTTATTCCTGTGTTTACACGGTAGTTTTGAATGAACAAGAATAGGTGTGTATAGGGTTTTCTGAGTTTGTTTGGTGTGGAGTTTGGGGCAGAGTTAGCCAGACTACTGTTAAAATATTTACAGGCAGGTAAGAAGAGCCCTGAGCAATATAATAACTTGAAGAACTTAGGCATTGTAAAGACCACTAGCCATGTAGCAAAAAGAGAGCAAGACGTGGAGGTCCGGGTGGGAGTAGGAGAGTTTGAGGTTTTCCAAGGAGAAGACAGATGAGATTGACTGGTCTTCACTTGCCAGGGAAGTCAGAGGGCAGTGTGAAATGTATTTTGTTTTGTTTTTTCTGAAACAGTATTCTGTATTGTATAGCCTAAGCTGGCCTATAACTTGCTATATAAGTAGGCATGTTGGCACATAGCCATATTCCCTGCATTTACAGGAAAACCAGGAATTTGTGGTCATCCTCTACTACATAGCAAGTTTGAGACCAGCATGATCCTATGTGAAATCATATATTTAAAACGAGGAAAAATACTCACTGTATGGCAGCTGCTCGTCGTTCCAACAGTGGAACATAATTCCCACAGGGACAGCAGACACAGGAACTCAGGGGCAAGCTTGGCAGCTAGACTAGTCAGAATCAGAGCGGTCTGATTCAGCAAGAAACCCTGCCTCTTCTGTAAGTAAAGTGGAGAGCAGTTGGGGAAGAAACTGTCAGCCTTAGACCTACATGCACACATGGACATACCTGTGCTTAAACAACTTGCAAACCAAATACACATTCCAAAATATAAAAAGTAAAAATGGCCCCTTCCAAAGTCATGGATCAAATTGCTCTTTTGACTCCTTCCTCAGCTGTCTGGGTGCAGATGTGCACCATCCACTGTACCTGACTGTGAAGAAACTTAGAAATTAAATTAGTCACACTGTTTGATAAATGAGTTAACCTCCATTGGGAAACGTGACCAGCATATGACCAGTTTTGACCTAATTTGTTGATGAAATGTTCCGGGCTCTTAGTTAACTATCAGTTCATGACTAAGACATAGAGAGTTTTTATTGGGGGCGGAGATAATTGGATTTTTTGAGACAGGGTCTCTTACATAGACCTTGGTGTTCTGGGACTCACTGTGTAACCAGACTGACCTCAAACGGACAGAAATATGCCTACCTCTGCCTCCCAAGTGCTACGACTAAAAGTGACTTGGACAAAGTTAGTTTTCTTCCCCTACCCTCATCTTCCTATGTTCTACTCCTCCACATCCCTCCCCTGCCTCTCTTCTCCCCTCCCCTTCAGTACGTTAGTTTAATTAAGAGAGATAGAGGCATTCTGTTCCCAGCCCCCGTGTCAGACAGATCACTACCTCCTGTAAGACCCACTGCGGGGATCTTACACTCTCTTCTGGCCATTGTAAGAATGTATTTAAAATGATGGATCCATGAATTTTTCCTTGGACATGGAAATATGTGATGAAGTTCACTGAAGAATCTGCACTACATTTCTTCACTGATAGTGGAGAAATTGGGACTCACGAAGGGAGGGTCTGTGCTTCGTGCCTTACTCCACTGGTACTCAGTGTTCCCTCTTTCCTCTCTTGAACAGTGCCATTATGACGGGGTCCTACAACAACTTCTTCAGAATGTTTGACAGAAACACGCGAAGGGATGTTACACTGGAAGCCTCAAGAGAAAACAGCAAACCCCGAGCCAGCCTGAAGCCCCGGAAAGTATGTACAGGGGGTAAGAGAAAGAAAGACGAGATTAGCGTGGACAGTTTGGACTTCAATAAGAAGATCCTTCACACAGCCTGGCACCCCATGGAGAGCATTATTGCTGTAGCTGCCACCAATAACTTGTATATATTCCAGGACAAAATTAACTAAGGAAGCTGACTGGAGGACCAAGTGTTGTCTTGCATAGTTAAGCTGGTCGTTTTCCTGTCACAGAAAAGGCATTGTCCTCTCCATTGAGAATAGTGATGCACTTCCACTTCCTCATAGACACAGGAGAAGAAGGGGTCTCAGCTGGAGTCTTGGGAGAGATGAGTGCCGCTGCTGAAAGGAAAAGCTACTCGAAGCTGAATTGGTGGACTTTGTTCAATAAAGGCCGTTACTCAAATGTATTTATTTAAGTCTGAGCCTTCCTTTCCAACTTACTTATAGACCAAAAAACTAACATCTGAGAGGATAAAAAGCTCATCCCAACTCTCTCCAGCTCTTCCCTCTATCTCTGCCATCCATCCCTGGAGCCCCAGTGGACTGCATCGCCACTGGTGCGTGGATACGCCCGAGCAGGCTCAGGCAGCTTTACTCACCCACTGTATCTGCCATCACACTCTGTGGAGCTACTTAATAAACACAACACACTGTGAAGTGTTTTTAAACCCAAACGCCATTGCAGTCTTTTTATTTGTTTCAGTTTCACATAATGAAATTATTCAGAATATTGTACTTTGGAACAAATTGAGAACTTTTTGACTTTGGCAGAATGATTGAGTTTGTACAGAACTTCAGATTCTAAATGTAACTATCCTAAATTGCCACTTGGTTTCTGTAGAAACCTCATCTTGGAAAGCCATAGTTGGGTCCCCGAGAGAAAATTACATGAAAGAGCAGCAGAGTCGCTGCTGTCAGATTAACACCTGCTTTAAAGTAGACCCCAGAGCCACTACAGTTAGTGTGTGTGGACTTTTTCTAAGTACTTTGAAGAAAGCATACTTTTAAAATATTGCTAAGATTATATGCTTGCCGAATTTCATACTATATGTCTGTCAGTAGAACTCAACAGCTGTAGTTGGGAAATGATGTCACCTGTACATATGATTCATTTTAAGACATGTTAGATAGATATCAGGGTCAAGATTTCCTGATAAGAAATGTAAAAGTTAAAAAAAAAAAATGTAAACGTTGCAAAAGTTTAAAAAAAGATGTAAGTTAAGTACAAACTCTTAATGGGCAGTGGTGACACAGGCCTTTAATCCCAGCACTCAGGAGGCAGAGGCAGGTGAATCTAAGTTCAAGGCCAGCCTGGTCTACAGAGTGAGTTCCAGGCCAGCCAGGGCTACACAGAGAAACTTCCAGAAAAACAAGAAGTATCAGCATGTAGTGTTTGTGGAAGAGTCAATCAGTGAGCTACTACAGGTCTGGCAGCAGGGCCTGGTCTGCTGAAGTAGGTGGGTGTACTGATGACTACTGATCTGTTCAAGGCCAGTACGCCTCACCGTCAATGGAACTAATGTTAATGCTGCTCCCGTTCAAATTGCATTAGAGACTGAGAACCTCCAAGGGACTTTATCTTAAAAGTAATCGCACGCTGATGGGCATGGTGGCACATGTCCCTAATCCCAGCAAGCAAGAGACAGGAGTAGACATCCCTGGTTTTCAGGTCAGCCTGGTCTACATATCTAGTACCAGGCCAACCAAAGATACATAATGAGACCCTGTCTCAAAGGATAAAAGCTATGTGTTCAATGTCTTTAATCCCAGAACTAGAGAGGCAGGGGCAGGCAGATCCTTGAGTTTGAGGCAAGCCTGGACTACACAGACTGTCTCTCTCTCTCTCTCTCTCTCTCTCACACACACACACACACACAATAACTGTCCTGAATCTTGACTGTGGCAGCTTACAGTGTCTGAGATAATGCCAGCATCAGTCCTAATACAGCAGGACTGTTCATATGCCATCTGTTCTACCAAAAAGTTTAATGCATTTAGATGTTAACCTGAATTTACCCTGGGCATTTAGAAAGCTTTCCATGTCATCCACTTGTAGAGGAGGCAGAAGAACGCTGAGCATGCAGCTTTCTGGGAGCTTAGCTGTCCCCTGGGGTAGAGGCCTGAGCCTGTAAGGTCTTTCCCAAGGAGTCCAGGCTATTCGCACCTCTGGACACCCTGCATTGCTGTAGTGTAGGATATCAGGTGCTTTTGATACAGTTACTAGTGTTGGCTAAAAGGACTCACTTCTGACAAACAGGTCCTCTCTGAAGTCTGGTTCTGTTTCCACACAAGATTCTTAACTGGCCTCAAACTTGAGACCCTCTGCGTCAGTTTCTCAGGCACATGTCACCATGCCCAAGTAAGAATCCTACAGTTCTCAAATTTAAATTGGTCTTGTTTATTATATTCAAACTTGGAATGGCTAGAATTTCTCCAGAATATTCCCTTTAAGAAAGCAGTCTCTGTCAAATGTTTTATTGCTACGTTTCTGGGTTGAGGATCTAAACAAGAGAAAGCATGTGGATTTGTTTTGGAGGTGAAGACTTGTCTTACTGTGTGGCACTGGCCTGGAACTCATCACTGTATGGAGCAGGCAGACATCAAACCACAGCAGTTTTAAGTGCCTCTGCCTCCCAAGTTCACCACTGTGTTTGGCGTACATGTGGGATTGTTTTTATTTTGAGACAGGGTCTCACTGCCTAGCCCTTGCTATCCTAGAACTCTGTTTAGTCCAAGTTGATCTGAAACTTAGAGAGCCTCCCACCTCTGCCTCCATAGTGCTGGGATCAAAAGTGCACCACCACAACCACCCTATACATTTGAATTGTTTTTCCCTAAAGGAATGCAGTCCACGTACGTGGAGGAACAGGAGCAAAAAGTCATCCACTGATGAGTTCAGTTAAGTCAACCTGGGCTACAAGAGACGCTGGGGGTAGGGGGTACCTAAGCATGGTAGCACATACCACAGCACACAGGAGGCAGAGACTGGTGGATCTCTGAGTTCCGACCAGCCAGGATTACATAGACCCTATTTCAATTTTTTTAGTTAATTAAGAGGCTAAAGAGATGGCTCAGCAGTTAAGAGCACAGGACCTTGAGTCACTTCCCAGCACCCATGTGTGGCTCACAACCTGCTGTATCTCCCAGTTCCAGGGGATTGATTCAGCAATTCAGTGCCCTGGAAATACCAGGCCTGCATATGCATGTGCATAAACTCAGGCTCGCTCCTCCTACGAAGAAAATAAAAGAGCTCACTTTAAAAAATAATTTTTTTTTTCTGCCAAGCAGTGGTAGTTCACATGTTTAATCCCAGCACTTGGGAGGCAGAGGCAGGTGCATCTCTGATTTTGAGGCCAATCTGGTCTACAAAGCAAATTCCAGGCCAACCAAGTCAGGGCTACACAGAAACTGTCTTGAAAAAAAGTAAAAATTTTTCTAAAGCTGTGCTTCTATGGTACAGTTATGTATCTGTCATGTCAGTTGACAGGACAGTGATGGTTGCATTCAGAAGTCGCAGTAAAACAACCAAGTGGAAACCATCCCAGTGGTCCTGGGGCAAACCTCTCAGCTACTGAAAGTGGAGGGATGGGGGTGCCCGGCACTGTTGCGTGCTCTTACTCTTGGGCCCTGTCCCAGCTGCCATACCTGGAAATCTTCTTGTGCAGAGCTAAGCGTGGCAACTGGCTTCTAGTCAGATGTCACACGCTGCTCTCCTTAGCTAAGGGCCTGCAGTAGGAGCCCAGCACATAGTGAGACCCAGTGGAGGAATGGTGGGGGCTTGCTGTGTGCCTGCCAGCGTTCTTCTGTGCCGGTGCTGTTCTGCCCTGTCCCAGCTGCCATGCCTTTGAAGTCTAAAGAGCCAAGGTTCCTGTGTGGGCTAATGTGGCAGCTAGCTGCTAGTGCTTGGGCATTACAGATGGAGGAGGCACCCTACGGTGTTGCCTGCCATGCAGCATAGCTGTTCCCATCTCTGCATGCATGGAAGGGCAAAAGCTCCCTTTCTGGGGAACTGTCTGCCAAGTGACAGTGGGACGTGGATGGTGCAGGTCACAGCACTTCTAGGGACTCAGCAGCACTTGTAAGAACCTGCTACCTAGGAGCACGCCTTTAATCCCAGCACTCGGGAGGCAGAGGCAGGCAGATCTCTGTGAGTTCAAGGTCAGCCTGGTCTACAGCAAGTGCCAGGACAGGCTCCAAAGCTACAGAGAAACCTTGTCTCAAAAAAAAAACAAAACGTTTTTAAAAATGGAGACTAGTACCTAAATTTACCCATAGCAGACAGGACCCTGCGCTATCAAAGTGATGGGGTCAGCTTTTTGACTCCTCAGCTTTGTGGTTCTTTTGAGATGGTGATTAAGTAAAATGAGTGGGACGTTGGTGGCAGTTTGAAAATACTTTTTAAAGTTTTTGCAAAGCTTGTGGTCTGACATGCAGAAACTGCATGCCACGACGTGAGCAGCATGACTCCTGGCTCTTGTGGCTGGAAGGCCCTATACCGTGGCCCCTACACCAAACGCTACCCTGGGAAGAGCATAGCCAAGTGTGACAGACTGTAGCACTGTCACAGAGCAGAGGTTCAGTGGCCTGTCCAAATTTCACTGTCACAGTGATACTTTCAGATTATTAGGTGAATTGGGTGTTGTAAAGCATGCTGTGCTTGAGAGCGTGAGGCAAAAGGCTCAGTTTCATGCCAGCACGATATACAATGAAATCAAAAAAGTCAGTGTGGGGGAGGGATAGAAAGGCTGGACATTGTGGCACAAACCTTTAATTCCAGCACTCTGGGAGGCAAAGGCAGGCAGAGATCTATGAGGTTAAGCCAGCCTGGTCTACAGAGTGAGTTCTAGGATAACCTGGGCTACACAGAGACCTAGTCTCGAAACCAACCCTTTTAGAGTTGTCTCTTTATCTCAGGCCAGCCTCAGATTCACTGTGTAAACCAAGAATGACTGAACCCCCGGAGTATCACCTCAGCTGGTTTATGTGGTGCTAGGGATCAAACCCAGGGCTTTGTGAATGCCAGGTGAGCACTCTGCCAGCAGAGCTTCATGCCCCCAGACCTGTTTTATCTTGCTGTTTCCTAATCTGGCTTGAACTTGTGATCCTTCCATCTCCAGGAAATGTTTTAAATATTTGGTTATTTTAGTGTATGTGACTATATAGCATATACATGCCCGGTGCATGAAGAGATCAGAAGAGAAAATCCAGTCCCCAAATAAGGTTAACTACCACGTGAAAGCTGGGAACCAAATCTAGGTCCTCTGCAAAAGTAGCAAGTTCTTTTAGAACTGCTGAACCAATTCTCCAGTCCAGCCTCATTATTTTTCTCTCCCAAGTAGGATTACAGGCAGGTGCCACCACCACTGCCCAGTCTTAGAAATAGATTTTTCCTTTTTTTGGCATTGTTTTTTGTTCGTTTGTTGTCTTTGTTTTGTTTTTGAGACAGGATCTTTCTACATAGTTCTGGCTGTCCTGAAATTCACTCTGTAGACCAGGATGACCTCAAATTTAAGAGATTTGCCTGCCTGTCTAGATTGCTGGGATTAAAGGTGTGTGCAACCAAGCCCAAAGATCCTGGTCTTTTTGGTTTTTTTTTTTTCCTTCTCCCCCTCCCACTCTTCCTCCTCCTCTTTGTTTTGTTTTTGTTTTTGTTTTTGTTTTTTTTTTTAAATGTAGCCCTGGCTGTCCTAGAACACCCTCTGTAGGCCAGGCTGACCTCAAACTCTAAGACCAGTCTGCCTCTTCCCCACCCCTCATGCAGGGCTTAAAAGCATGCACCACCACCAGCTGGCTGATGGGCTTTTTCCTTAATTAAGTTTTAAACAACTACTGTATAGACTTTGGAGGCCCTCAGAGGAATATGGTAAGGACTTGCCCTATTTCTGACCTTTGTAATTATTTCTCGAATGTGCCTTTGGTTTTTCAGACAACCCAGTTTTATGTGAGAGTAGCTCCACCTGTCACTTCACAGAACCTCTCCTTTCTCTCCACAGCAGCTCAAGCACACAGCTCTGACTGGAGGGCGTGTACCCCAGAATCTACATTTCCATAAATGTTCTGACGCTGCTGGCCCAGGACCACCGTAAGTAAAAGGCACCCTTTACTTTGTTTTGCTGAGGAAGAATTAAACAGGTGTCAGGACACTCAGCTTCCCTGGTGTCGGCACAGTGCTGTCTCACTCAACCACACAGCTTTGGCTTGACTGGGCCTTAAATGTTCCTTGTCTAGGCGCATGGTACATTCTCTTTCTGTCTTCCAGCCTCTGTCTCTTGACAGTTTTGAAGTGTACAGACAACTGTTTCAGAGAACTCTCCTTAATTTAGACCTGTCTATTTTTATCTAATGATTAAATTGTAATTATGTATTTTAGGCAAAAGCCATAAAAACAAAAAACTTGATGTGGCCTCAGCATCAAACCACCAAGTTTCGTTACATAAAGCTAAAATTCTGAGTAACTTATGGGAAAAAGACAAAAACAACTTTTTAAAAAAACCTACGGTTGCTGGGTACATGGAGGTCAGAGACCAACTTGTAGGTGTCTGTTCTCCCAGGCCCAGAAATAGATCTCATTAGGCTTAACACCAAGCACCTTTATCCACTAAACCATCCTGTCGGCCCCAGACCATCTCCTTATCCCAGGATAACATTGTTTTCCATTGGGCAGTCAGCAGTTCTGTAGTTTACCTAGTAATTTTCCATTCCCATCATCCTCTCCTTTCATATTAACTTGGAATTCTGTTAGGAAGAATGCTCCCATCTGACCAAACATGTATGAATTGAAAGGGTACCTGCTTTATGTGGGCAAGAGGACATTGTTGTCATGATTTCACAACTCACATGGCCCACAGGGTCCTAGTTTGGCCAGATGTGAGCCCTTTAGGATGGGCACAGTTGTCTCCGACTTCAGTGGTTAATATCTGAGCTCTTCCTCTCTGGCTAGTTCCCATAATTATTAACTTCCCTAGTGAGCCAGGCTTTTCTCTTTAGAGTATGACACTAAATGTACGACCTACTATTTAGTGTCACTGTGTCTGGGTGCCCTAAGCAGAGTTGGCTGGATTCATTTCATCTTTCAGACATCCAGCTAGATCCCACCACAGGCTTCAAGCAGCCTATTCCAGCCTGATTTCTTTGTAAAACAAGTAAAAGACCATTAAGTGTGTGTGTGTGTGTGATCGTGATCCCGTGGAACAAGTGTTAGACAGTTGTAAGCCACCATGTGGATGCTGGGAACTGAACCTAGATCCCTAGATCCTGTGGAAGATCAAATGTTCATAACTGCTGAGCCATCTCTCAAACCCCATACCCTTAACTCATTTACTCAGTATTTATACACAACCTAATTTCACAATGCATTCTCCATAAGAAACAAACTTTACTGAAGCAAGAAAATGCCTATTTACCATTATGTCCTTGTAGAATCTAGTTCAGATATTACTGGCCTGCTACTGGACTCCTGCTTTTTGTCTTCCAGCCCCACAGCATTTGTTACTCTTGCATTCAGTGAAGTGCCCTTGTGTGCTCATGTCTGCCTTCCCCCTCCTGCTCCTTCCTATCGGGCCACTCACTTCCTCCTATGACCATCAGATCTCATTCACTTGTGGCTTGTTCACCTCAGATTTGGACACAAATGAGGAAATGTATTAAACTGTCTTTGGCTTTTTCCTCCTAAGGATGAGTATTACCTTTGGTTTGAGCAGTAATGTGGGCTGCAGGTGGCGTCATCAGAGCTAGAAGACCTTCAGGATGTGTCAGCAGGATGAGCTGGCCAACATGCTTCCCAGCCATTGACTTGCAGGTAAGCCTCTCCACTGGGCAGTTTGATTTCTTCCCAGCATAGAGTTTGGGGTCCAGGAGAAAGTCCCCAACAGAAAGTAGCTGCCCGCATTAAAACTGGATGGACCCAGGAACTAGGCTACATCACTTTTTCCTTGTCCTATCTATCAACTTGACCAGAGGCCCAGGAGAGGAAACATACACACCCATCAGAAACTAGAGTAAACCAGCTTTAGAAATATCAGACTTCCTGTATCACTCAGCTTCAGCACCCTTTTAATGGTCGTGTTTTGCTTGCATTTTTCATGTTTATTTGCTATGTCCTGGGAGTAAATCAGTTCCTTCTATTTTAGCAACATGCTCCTTTGTTCATGTCCTCATGAACCAGCCTTTGTCATACACAGGAACCTCAGGGAGTTAAATAGTTTCATATTCTTCTGCTTGTTTATTGAGTCTGTGTTAAGATAGCACTTTCCTATACAGACCAGACTGTTGTGGAATATTACTGTAACTATGTGAAGATGTGTTCCATTTGTCAATGCTGCATTTAATTTGTAAAGATGTATTTAAATGTTTGTTTGTAAAGATGTTTTGTTTATGCTGCACTTGTAAAGATGTGTTGCTGTTTTACCTTGTCTGCCTCAGGCACGTGACTGGTCTAATAAAAGGCTGAACAGTCGATAGCTAAACATTAGAGGGCTAGGTGGAGCTGGCAGAGATAATAAATAGGAGGCATCTCAAGGAGAGAGGGAGACGCCAGGGGCCAGCCAGACAGGCACAGAGGATGCAGGAAAATAGGATAATAAGTCTCCATGTCATAATTTGGGGTCGAGGTCCAAAACTGCCTGCTACACAAGAAACAAAAGTGCTTATGTTGAGTTGTTGTTTTCAGATCAGGTAAAGATCAGGTGTGAGATCTCCTAGAATTGAAGTTATATACCAAGGCTTATAATAACCATCGAGCATTCCTCCAGCCTACCCTGTTTTAAGGTAGGACCCTCTAAGTCTTCTCCACAGCTGAAGTCATCTGCACTTCTGCCATGTCCCATTCTAAAGTATGTTAGCTCAGACCCTAAGGCCTGAGCAGTTCTACATCCTGAACTGCATTAATTTGTGGCCAAAAGCAGTTTTTCAAAACTACCGGATTTTACTACATTTCAAATTTGTGATTCAAAAACTGAGCAATAGTAGTTATTTTTAGATGTATGAATGTTTTGCCAGCATGTATATCTGAACCACTTCTGTGTCTCGTGCCTGAAGGGACTAGAAGAGGGGCATCAGACCTAGCACTGGAGTTACAGATGGCTGTGAACCACCCATGTGGGTGCTGGAAATGAAACCCAGGTTCTCAGGAGGAGCAGCCAGTGCTCTCAAACACAGAGCCATCTGTCCATCACCCAAGCAGTCATTTTTTTATATATTAGGCTGGGTGTGGTGAGACAGGCCTGATCCCAGAGGCAGAATGATTCTAGAGCCCCAGGCCAACTTAGACTACATAGTAACTGTCTTACAAAACAAACATGCATACCCAGAGTAGAAGCATAAAGGCTTGCACGGCAAGGTGGCTCACACCTTTAATCACAGCACTCAGGAGGCAGATCTTGGATTCAAAGCCAGGTTGGTCTACATACACAGAGAAACCCTATCTCAAAGAAAAAAGAAAGTGTTTGCTATAGCCATTTAAAAATATATTGTCATTCTGCCTGAGGGCTGAGCATGGGAAAGCTGGCCTTTTACAACTATGGACCATGGGTTTAAAACAAACAAACAAACAAACAAACAAACAAAAAACCAGTGGGAGGATGCTGCAGAGAGATGGTTCACTTTCCAGAATCCCTGTAGAGTGACTCACAACTGATTGAGTGAATCCCTGTAGAGTGACTCACAACCTCAACACCAGCTCCAGGGAAATCCATTGCCCTCTTCTGGCCTCAAAAGACACTACACTCATATGCTAGTGTAGCATTTAAAATAAAAATAAAATATTCAAGAGCCAGGTATGATGTTGCATGCCTTCAATCCCAGCATATTTAGGAGGCAGGCAGATCTCTTGAGTTGCAGGTCAGCCAGAGCTACACAGTAAGACTGTTGTTTCTATAAAGAAAGAAAATTGGATACCATCCCACCATCTTTCTCCAGATGACAGGGATATGAACTATTTTGAATAATCATTTAAATATAAACAAAAGGCTGTTAAAATGTTTCTTTTATTGTAACTCACCTGAGTTAAGTGTGGGACAATGAAACAAATACAACAGGATATATACAGCATGTCAAGGAGGCAGCCTTTAAAAACATGCTATAGAAAAGAGGAAGACTGGGAATATACCTGGATTAACAGAAGCACTGACTACTGATTAACCCATATGCAAATCCAGTAATCTCCAAAGGATTTGACAAAGATTTATTTTCATTTCCAGTCTTTTAAAGTAGACAGATTTGCTTACAATACAGCTGATTTTAAAAGCACACAAAATTTTAAGTAAAAACAATGGGATTTTAAATCAGCAGAATGATGAAGGTGCCTGCAACACAACTGACCGCCCAAGGCAGTGATGGCCGATAAGGAGGCTGAAATCATCCTACAAAGCAAGAAAGGGGGGAGGGAAAGCCTACACAGTGGGGTTTCTGGGTAACCTTAGCTTCTACTTGCTACTTAATTCACATAGTAAGAGGTCTTTACAGATAACCCACACCCATTTAATTAACCATGTAGTAGCATTTTCTACTATGTAATAGGATTATAAGGCCACAATATTCCTTTGGGACAAACCCTTTAATGATTTTAATTTCACTTACTCATTCTTTTGAAGTGTAAAGTGTCATAACTGGATTACAATTACAGATCATTTTTAAATACACCACCATTGCTACTATGTTAAAATTATTCAACTATTTATATCTAATATTCAAAGAAAATTTACTAATAAATGCTACAATAGGCAGTCTTACATGCTTATTAATTGATCCCGTAGGTATAATTATAGGTCATGATACTAGAGTCTATTCTGTCTGACTACATCAGGAACACCGCATTTACAGAACAAATAAACACACGTAGTGCAGACACCCAAGGATCATGCTAGCTCTTCAGTTATCTGTCACAGCTCAGACATGAATCCTCACTGTGTGAAAAGTCAGATCCAATTCTTCCATCAAAAGGTGCTAGTGGAAGTTGTCAGACGCCTTCCAATGTAGATCCTAGACAGAAAAGGAACAATAGCCATCAGGTCTCACACAGTTCAAACAGAGCAGACCACTATGGTTACAGCCTGTGGAAGGGAACTCGCCACCTTACCTAAATAAGGTATAACTGTCTATAATCTTTATCAAGTGTTTAGTCATCAGATATGTATTTCAAATTGGTCTAATTTTTCTTAATTGCCATTAAAATTTATTTTCTGTTTTTTCAATTATATTCTAATGGCACAAAAAATTGAAAGTACAAAAAAAAGAAACTAATAGCAGGAATTGAAACTCAATGACAGAGCATCAATCTACCATAAGCAAGTTCCCAGGTGTAAACCCCAGAACCACCCCCAAAAGTACAAAACAACCCCAAATGCTATCACTATAGAGCTTCGTATTCCTTTCAGTGTGCAAAATGAGCTATATACCTGCGCTCCAGGACAGGGGGCTTCTTCACATCCAGTTAGTTCATTACCATTAACATCAAAGCCCAACCAAGAAAGGAAGTAATGAAGCCTCCCTTTTCCCTAGTCTATTAGAGGGGGGACTAAAAGTCCCTAGGACACGCAAGAATTCCAGCTGGCCAGGTCTGTGTGGGGTAGTGAGAAATAAGACTGTGGTCAGTGAGCTACCGGGAACTAAGGAGGGTAGTTTTCATCTCAGAACACTGAAAGTTGCCAAGAGTGGTGGTGCCAATAGTGGATGATTGCCAGGAGTGGGTAGGGTGGCACCATCAAGCTCTGAGACTGGGAAGGATAAAGGACAAACAGTAGGTAGGAGCTGAATGCAGAAATGATTTCCTGAAGAGAAGCTCAGCTTAGGTACTGAACTTGTAGATTACTAGGCCCTATCCACAGATCCTCCCCTTGCTGGTTCTGTTCTGGTTTTTTTTGTTTGTTTGTTTTTGTTTTGTTTTTTTTTTTTTTTTGAGATCAGGTCTCAGTAAGTAACCCTGGCTGACCTGGAATTCAGAAATCTGCTCTGCCTGTCTCAAGTACTGCTTGCTAGTTCTGAGAAGAAAGTCCCAGGTGATGGGATGCACCTGACCATGAGACCAGGTGCAAGGACAGAACCACACATGGAGAAAGAAGGGATGAAGACTGGTAGGGTGCACCCCTGCAACTCAAGAGAAATAGGTCTGTAGAGAAAACTGGGATTGATGTATCTATGAGACCCACAAAATCCCAAGGGATCAAACATCAAACAGACCAGGTGCCATGAAACACAGAAACAGCTTTTTTTTTTTGGGGGGGGGGGGGGGAATAAGCAGACAACAAAGCCTAGAAGCCCACAGTAGCAGCCAGGCCATTCCAACAAATTGAAGCCATACAACACACAATATAGTGTCTTGTGAGATTACCCCCATGTGGGCAGAGGAGAGGGTAGGCGTAGGCCTAAAGAAAGACTAAGGGCGGGGGCTGGAGATGCGGCTCAATGGTTAAGAGCATTGCCTGCTCTTCCCAAGGTCCTGAGTTCAATTTCCAGCCACCACATAGTGGCTCACAACTATCTGTAATGAGGTCTGGTGCCCTCTCTTCTGGCCTGCAGGCATACACATAGACAGAATATTGTACACATACATAATAAATAAATAAATTTTTAAAAAAAGAAAGAAAGACTAAGGGCTAGTTATGTAACTCATTTGGTAGAGTGCTCGACCACCATGTATGAAACTCTGGGTTCAACTGCAGGGTCATATAAACTGGGTGTGGTGGCACACACCATTATCCCAGCACTCAGGAGGCAGACACAGGAAGAGCAAAGCCCAATTTCATCCTTGTGAGGCCAGCTGAAAATACATGAGTCCCCGTTCCTAGTGTCCCCTTGGTAACCTGCTCTGGCTCTTTGGTACTGGTCCCATCTAGAGAATCCACAGCTCTATTTCCTGATCTGTTTTAGTCTAAACTTGATACAAAAGCAGAAACCTGGAGACTTTATTCACTCCACTACTGCCAAGAATTCAACAGGACCGCTGTGGAGACAAGAAAGGCTGGACATGAAAACTCCTGTGTGGTGGATAAAGGGGCAGTGGCTTTCCATAGCACAGATTCTTTACTTCTTGACATAACCGTGAACATATATTGCTGGAACCTAGAATCACCAAGGCCCACCCTGCCAGTACTCACAAAGAAACATCACTTACCCCAATCCAATGGCCAGCAGATGAGACAGCAACAGAGATGGAAGAAAAACCTTCAGAAAGTCTGCTGAGAAAATGCCCCCTTTCTTCATAACGCTTGTATTTCTCATGCTGAGTGTAGCTGTTCGCTTCGGATGTTTAAAAAGGAACTCCCTGGGGTGGAAAGAAACTACCAATCAATGCGTCCTCTTCTTGTCAAGGAAAGAGCTCATGATACTGAAAACACTTACTTGGGGGGGATATTTTCTGGCCGACTTGACCAATCCCATATCCAATCCGAGTTTTTCTTCAAGATGCTTTCAACCTCTCTTCTTCTCTCAATATAGTCTTCCTCAGACTAAGAAAAAGTAAATATTAATAAAGCAAGTGAGTGAGTATCCCACATCCACACCAGAAATAAGGTAAGCTCAACACAGTTCCCCATAGACTTTGACCTTGTTGAGGCCTTTATACCGGCTGTCAGTAGAAGGTAAGGTCCAGACTAACGGTGGATCTTCCCACCTCCAAAGATCTAGACTAAAAGCTTATTATCTTCCAAACTCAAATACTATAACCTCAAATATTTTATTAAGAAAAAATCCCTCCAAGCTATGCCTATTCATTTGGGTTTTGGTTAATTCCAGATTTGTTAAGTTGACAACCAAGAATAGCTATCACAAGCCCACCCCTTTTAGCTGAACACACAATCATATCTCCTTATGTCATGCTTAACTTCCAAATAAAACAGTAACTAGACCATAATTAAACCTAACATGGTATTAACTGCAAATGCATTGCAAATTCAAATATTCAAGTAGTAATAATGTCCCTTGAGGGACATTCTTAGTATCTCAAACTAAAACGATAATCATTGACATTCTCTTAACCGTTACATTACATGATAAATAAATGACGTAATGGAAGCAAATATCTGTAAACACATTTTTAACAAAATGACCAAAACACTCATATCAATTATAATCCTCATTTCTAGAACTGGTCACATAGCCTTAGTAGCTGATATTTAGAACTGCCTTCCTCTACTACCCATTCTGTATTTCCTCCATCTTCATTGATATGAGATGTCTCTCTGTAGGCTGTGAATGTTTTAGTACCAGTGGTTAATAAAGAAGCTGAATTGGCCAATAGCCAGGCAGACTAGAGTCAGGAGGGAAATCCAGTAGAGATACAGGGAGAAAAATAGCAGAGTCAGAGAGATATCAGACAAGCAAGATATGAGTTAACAAGCCACAAGCCTCGTGGTAAAATACAGAATAGAAATGTATTAATTTAAAATGTAAAGACTGGTTAGTAATAAACCTGAGCCATCGGCCAAGCAGTTTGTAATTAATTTAAGCCTGAGTGGTTATTTGGGAATTGGCGGGCAGGAGAGCAACCTCCAGTTACACCTCAGCAAGCACCTCAGTGAGTCTTGACTCTTTTCTTGGGGGAGTGACCCATAACTTTATTCCTGAAGAGTTTGTGCCCTCTGTCATCCTGCATGGATTAGGTTGTTGTAGTTTCCCACTGACTTTAGTCACAAGACATGGAAGAACCAAGGATGCCCTCTACCCCATACATGTTTCTTACCACCAATGTGGAGAAGCAATCCAATATTCCCTGGTAATCTGGATTAATCACACCTAACTGGCCTTGTGTCGACAACAGCTTAGTCCATCTTTATATCAGGCCAGCTGCTTCAGATGCTGGGGACATGGTAATACCCATGATTCCATGATCACGGGCCTACTGTCTGGTGATATAATTTTTTGGTCAGAAGCAATGCTGCGTGGAATACAGTGGATAAAGCATTCTATAAAACCCCTGATGGTGGTTTTGGCAGAAGCATTACATACAAGAAAGGCAAAGCCACAACCAGAATAAATACCTACTCCTGTACAGACAACGCACTGATCTATCTATGGCGAAAGTGGTTCTATGTAATCAACATGCCACTAGATTGCTGACTAGCCACCCCGAATAACAGTGTCATCCATATCTGGGGCTCAGTGTTGGTCTCTGCTGTTGGCAGAATTGGCACTCAGCAGAAGCTGTAACCAGATCAGCCTTGGAAAGTGGCAGTCCATGTTGTCAAGTCCACACATAACCCTCATCTCTGCCACCTTGGCCTTTTTGTTCATAGGTCCATTAGGTAATGAGACAATGGTGACTGGGGAAAGGGGCTAACTCTCCATAGAATGGGTTATCCTACCTACTTGATTACTGAACTCTTCCTCAGTTGAAGTCCCTTTTAAATAAGCATTTACTTGTATTTTCAGTTCATTTTCCCATTTGGAGAGATCATAATCCATACATACAGAGATCACACAGTGCATACTCCTTCCTGAGATATCCTTTTCACCAATTTTCAAGTAATGCTTTTTCTAAACCCCTGACCATGCAGTCAATTCATTGGCCACAATCTATGAATTCAGTGAACAATAGCACATCTGGCCATTTCTCTTTCAATACGAAATGTATGACCATGTATACTCCCCAAAGTTCTGCCCATTATGAAGACTGCCCTTCTCAGGTGTGTCTTTCAGGGCTGTCTCAGAAAGCCCTGTTAATGTTGCAGCGGTCCACTTCTGAGTCACTATTTTCCCTGACAGAGGTAAGGCGAAAGGTTTTCATTTAGCCTTTCCAACCATAATAGCCTTCATATCACAAGTCAAGAAACCAGTGTATGAATTCTGCCAGTTGGGCTAGAATAATGGCTCAGTGGTTAAGAGCATTGCCTGCTCTTCCAAAGGTCCTGAGCTCAATTCCCAGCAACCACATATTGGCTCACAACCATCTGTAATGAGGTCTGGTGCCCTCTTCTGGCCTGCAGGCATACACACAGACAGAATGATGTATACATAATATATATATAAAAGAATTCTGCCAGTTTACAACTGTAACTCCAGTTCCAGGGTATTTGACAGCCTCATAAAGACATACATGCCTCCCCCAAAAAAAGGCACACATGCATGCAAAACCCCAATGTGCATTAAATAAATAAGTAAAACTTAAAAAAAAGAATTCTACCAATTTCTAAGTATATCCGTCTCAGTTAAACATTCTTGAACTAGGTAAATAACCACGGTATGAGTTCAGGGATCACAGAACCTACCCTGAGTCAGACTTCAGTCATAAATTAATTGCCTCCCCTACTTTAACTGGCATGTTTTTTTTAGGTCTCCTGGAATGAACATCAATTTGATCCTGTATCCAACAGACCCTAGAATGTCTGATTGTTTCCTTACCCCAGCGTACAGTTTCCTAGTCTTGTCTCACACAAGCCAAGGCATGTGTTCCTCCTTTACAGATATATCCATTTTGTCCAAGTCCCATTCAACTCTGTTAATGTAGCAGGTTTAGGGACTGGAGACATAGCTGAGTTAGCAAAGCGCCTCCCTTGCATAGCACAAAGTGTCCTGGGTGTTCCATTCCCAACAGCACATCAACAAGGTTCAGTGGTACATGCCTTTTTATCCTAGCACTTAGGAGGCTAGGGCAGGGAAAAGCTGAAGTACAGCCTAAGCTATTGAGTAGCAAAGACTCCGCCTCAGAATACAAAAAACAGCCAGGCAATGGTGGTGCACGCCTTTAATCCCAGTACTCAGGAGGCAGAGACAGGTGAATCTCTGAGTTTGACTAAGCCAGCCTAGTCTACAGAGTGAGTTCTAGGATAGGCAGGACTGTTTCAAAAAAAAAAAAACAACACAAAACACTGTTCTGAGGGCATGAAGACATAGATAACAGCAGCAGAACCTATCCTAACAGAAGAAAATGAGAATAGGCGTGGCTAAATAAGGGGAATATTATAAGCTAGTTTAAAGGTGCTTTTGAGAAAAAGCAGACCACAATTTCAGCTACACTTTTAAAATGAATGGCACAAATGCTAATTGAGATGTCTCCAAAATAGGAGATGATAGGAAATTTTCTCTTGCATTCTTAAAATTCTATAACTGCATACTTAAGTGGAGATGGGGAGATATATCAAATAATATAAAAACTAAAAAATATGACTGCTTCAAAAGTGGACATGCACTCAAGTGTATAGAAGGCTGGATGAATTCCAAAAGTCTCTGATGCCCAAAATGGGGCCAGAGAGAGTTCCCTGGAGAAAGCCTAGGCTAGAGTTAGTTTCTGGGAATGGGACACTGATTAAAAACTGGCACAGGAAGAAACAATGCTTTTTAGTAAAGACTTTGCTTCCTAAGACAGCTGCTAAACTATTACAGAAGATATTTTTCATCTTTACCATATTAAATACCATGCACAAGGTATAGCATTACTAAATAAAATTACACAAGATTCTACTGCCTCAAACTACTATACAGAAATGGTATGGATAAGAACAGTTATCTTAAGCAATAATCTACATGTCTCACCATGGTTCTGTGGTAGTTTGATTAAGAATGGCCCCCAGGATGTGAGGGCGATCTAGCTGTGACACTGTCACCCCATTGATCACCAGGGTTGATTCAGCTGATCTGGCTGGCTAGGCAGGTGTCCCACTGCATGTATGTGCCTTCTGAAGCTGTGTGCTCAGTTGAAGAGAACAACCTTCCCCAAATAGAGGAGAACCAGTCTTCAGGTAAGGTATATGAGTAGCTGCACTCCCCTGCCTAAACCTCCAAACAAGCTCTCAAGAATGTTTAATCTGACCTTCTAAAGGATCCAAATTCAGTTCCCAGCACTCAGACCAGGTGACTGACTGCTGCCCATAATTCCAGTTCCAGGGGGTCCAATACTCCTGGTTTCTAGACACCTGCAGTCATGTGCACATACCATATAGACACAGATACACTCAATTTTAAATAATTAAAATAAAAACTATTAAAGCTGGATAGTGGTGGCACATACTCCCAGCTCTCAGGAGGCAGAGGTAGGGGGAAATCTCTTAGTTTAAGGCCAACCTGATATACAGAGTGAGTTTCAGTACAGCCTGGGCTACACAGAGAAACCCTGTCTGGAGACAAACAAACAAAATAACTCTATTGAAGTGGGGGGAGATAAAATGCTTACTGCACATTCATCAGGCCCTCAGTTCAGATCGCCAACACCCATGATACACACCTTTAATTACAGCACTCAAAAGGCAGAGGCAGGTAGATTTATGTGTGTTTAAGATCAGCCTGATCTATATAGCAAGTTCCAGGA